GAACAAACATCGGCCTACTAAACTTGCATTACAAGATCTTATTCATGATACAATTCTTTGTTGGTTCCATATCATGTCAACTTTAGGAAAGCATTTGAAAATGTGGAAAGTAAAATGGCCATTACGATATCTGATAGCACTTGCCTTTAAAATTATAGGTAGAAGTAAAACTGATGAAGAAGCAGTTAAAATAGGAGAAGAATATAGTAAATTCATCAATTCTTTGTCTTTTGATAATAACATAAAAGACTATCTAATACGTGACCTAAGAGTAAACTAGATTTGTGATGAATAGCAAAAGAGCTTCATTAATAGGGGACGGATGTCACAAATATATGATCAACCTAATGCAATACTAATGACAATGAACAATCTTACAGAACGAATGTATAAGACTGTAGAAGCACAGTGTTGCGGAATACAAATAGTTGTAAAATTTATTGAACGTTTATATAGTATTAAAATTTTTTGAGAATCATTAGTTTAAAGTAAGCTTGGAAAAACTAATTTTGATGCAGGGTTGGCAACTTACTAGAATATGCGTACTATTGAACATAAACAAATGCTACCTAAAAATTCTGTTGATAAAAAATATCAGATAAACTAAGGACATCTTTATGTTCTTCTTGGTTTTGTTATACCAATTTCTGGATAAGAAAATTATATATTAGTTGAAAAGCAGAACAAAGTATTCTATTCACCTTATACTTTTCATCCCATTAATATACCAGTGAATATATTAGAAAAAATAAATGAGATAATTATTAAATTAGTTAACAAAGAAAATCTTCACATTCCAGAAATATATTATCTTGTCAATACATTATCAGGTGAATGTACATGCTATGACTATATTTGGAATAGCTCCTTTAGGGATATTTGCAAGCATATATATGCTACACGACAGTATATAGAAGCTTTACATGGAAATTTACAGATGCAAGAAATTAAGGAAAAACTAGTACAGCATTTTAAAGATAAGGAAAATGCAGTTGCACCAGAAAAAAGAACTATATTATTCATAGAGGAACTAGCGATGAGGTTT